CAAACCAACACCAATGTAATATAGAAAATTATCCAATAAACATTTAATTCATCAAAACAACACCAAATTAACATTCAATTTATTAAATTAACACCAAATTGATATTCAATTCATCAAATCAATACCAAATTAACATTTAATTCATCAAACTAACACCAAATTAATATAAATTGTATGAATTGAATATATATTTGGTATTGATTTCATTAATTGAACATAAATTTGGTGTTAATTTGACGAATGAATATGTATTGGGTGAATTTAATGTTAATAGTTGAATTGAAATGTTAATTTTATTAATTGAATGTTTATTATATAAAATGTAATGTTAATTTAGCGTTGAGTTAATGAATTAAATGTTTATTTGATTAATTTTCATATTAATTTGGTGTTGATTTGATAAATTGAATTTTTATTGGATGATTTTGGATGTTAATTTGATAAATTGAGTGTTAATTAAATGAATTGAATGTCGATTTAGTATTTATTTGATGAATTGAATATTAATTTGATGAATTAGATTGTACAAGTGGTATTAATTTGATGAATTAAATATTAATTTAATGAAATTGAATGTTAGTTTAATGAATTGAATGTTCCTTTGATAGTATTTTGTGTTGGGTTACACTTTTTTTGGAGTTGCGACGGATGTGGATGATGGATCCAATAAAAGTAGGAACTGAATTTTTTCAAAAAATTCAACTGTTTCCTAAGGAAACATCTCGTCCAGATTTTTTTCAAAAAAATACTTTGCATCACAAAAATATTTTTTATTTTCAAAGAAGTTATACATACTAGTAAAAGGATGGAGGGAAGGTAAGAGAAGTGATTTGGGCGGGAAGAGAAGAAAAAGGAGGGAAAGACAAAAAAAAATTGCAGGAACAAGGTAGAAAGATAAGGTTATTGTGGACCATCTAAAATAAATAAATAATTGGATAAATAAACATTGTCATATTTTAGGATTGTAAGTGTAATTTGAATTAAAACTGCCGTTGAAATGAGCGATCGATCTTTGCACCACAATATTCGCTTAGAAAATAAAAAAAAATAATATATTGTAATATGTGGGGTGTAAGTGTAATTTAGAATTAGGATGGGTCCAAGAAATGGGAGACCGATCTTGGATAAATATCACACTTTTATCCCTTAACTATCACACTTTTATCCCTTAAATAATCAAAAAAATTCCCAAAAATATTCAATATTTTATAAATAATCCCATTTTTTATTGACAACAAATAAATAATGAATAAAATCAAATAATTAAAATAATTGTAAATAATGCTTTCAAATATAATTTTTTGAATTGGGTTCCAATTTTTTGGGCGACTCCGATTTGAAGGATCAAAAGAATCCTACTGTCCAAAAATATTTAATATTTTTTAAATAGTCTCATTTTTTTATTAACGACAAATATATAATGAATAAAATCAAATAATTAACAGAATTGTAAATAATGCTTCAAACTATTTGGATCTGGATTATAACTTTTTTTTGCATATGTTTGTGTTTTGGGGTGACTCTGATTCGCTAGATCAAAAAAATCCTACTGTCCAAGAATATTCAATAATTTATAAATAGTCTCATTTTTTATTAACAACAAATAAATAATGAATAAAATCATATAATTAAAAGAATTGTAAATAATGCTTCTAACTATTTGAGTCAGGGTTATAACTTTTTTGGGATTGGATTTTAATTTTTTGGGTGACTCCAATTAGCTAGATTAAAAAAATCCTAGTGTCCAAAAATATTCAATATTTTATAAACAGTCCCATTTTTTATTAACAAAAAATAAATAATGAATAAAATCAAATAATTAAAATAATTATAAATAATGCTTCCAACTATTTGGGTTAGGTTATAACTTTTTTTGAATTGAGTTTCAATTTTTTGGTGACTCTGATTAGCTAAATCAAAAAAAATCATAATGTCCAAAAATATTCAATATTTTTCGGTAGGGGTTCTAACTTTTTTGCTAGGGTTGCAACTTTTTGGGGGTGGTTCCAACTTTTTTGGTAGGGGTTTCAACTTTTTGGGGTGGTTTCAACTTTTGGGTAGGGTTCCAACTTCTTGAGGTGAGTTTCAACTTTTTTGGGTAGAAATTCCAACTCTGGAAGGATTCCAACTTTTTTGGAGGGTTCGGGGTTGGGTTCTAACAAGGGGTTCCAACTTTTTTTGGTAGAAATTTCAACTTTTTGGGGGAGGGGTTCCAACTTTTTGGAAGAGGGGGTTCCAACTTTTTTGGGTAGGGATTCCAATCTATTGGATGGAGGGGTTCCAATTTTTTTGGCTAGGGATTCTAACTTTTTTAGGTAGAGTTTTCAAGGAGAGGGGTTCCAATTTTGTGGGGGATGGGTTCCAACTTTTTTGGGTAGGAGTTTCAACTTTTTTGGGTAGGGGTTCCAACCTTTTAGGTAGAGGTTCCAACTCTTGGGAGAGGGTTCACCTTTTTTGGGTAAGGGTTCTAACTTTTTTGGGTAGAGGTTCCAACTTTTTTGAATAGGGGTTCCAACCTTTTGAGGGGAGGGGTTGTAACTTTTTTGGGTAGCGGTTCCTATTTTGTGGGGGAAGGGTTCCAATTTTTTTGAGTAGGGTTCTAACTCTTGGAGTAGGGGTTCCAACTTTTTTGGGAGAGGGGTTACAACTTTTTTGGGTAGGGGTTCCAACTTTTTTGGGTGAGATTGTTTGCTAAATCCTACTATTTTCTATTACTGGTTTAACAGGTATCCCATATCCCACTTTTTAAACTGATCAACGGCTACAAAAACAGAAAAATTACATCAATGGCCCAAATGAAATGTCGGTAGTGTACCGAAAAGTAAAATTCGGTATTGTAGCCTGACCCTAGTGGTATTGGGATGTCAGAACATAGCTTACCTAGGTTCCTGGGAACCGCAGACATAAGCGACACAAGGATGTCAGAACGTTCTCCCCTGCAAAACTCCCAAACTTCCCCAAACACATAGAAGAACCTACGATGCCAACCTTCGGGGGTATAGGAAGGGCTGAAAACAACGCAGGGGACCCATATTTTCTCAAGCAGCAGTAGAATCCAAGCAAGGGAGATCGAGCCAAAGAAAAGAAAGAGAGGAACATTGGGAAAAAAGGAGTAGACTTAGATACAAATCGAATCCACAAGGCCAAAAAAACAACTAACACGCCCCACCACTAAATTGATAGCTTGCTGGGGCAAAGATTGAAAAAATGGAGAACCAATCTAAAAAAATAGCGGTATGGGAAATCTAAGTCCCACCTGGAAGGAGAAATCAAAGAAACAAGCCTTGTGCGATATGAGACTATTATAACAAAACTTAAGAAGAGGGGCTTCTGCAACAACCCATTAGGAAATTTAAAACACTCCTGAATCTCCACAATGTCCACCCTTGATAGTTCACTGGGCTCTGACGTCGAAAAGAATTCTGGGTCTATGTTGCCAAGTGTGGATTTTTGACCCTTCAGGAAAACCCGGGCTTCGACTAGACCCTCGCCAATATTCAAAAGTAAACACGGAAGAACTCAACTGGAAAGTGGATGATGGATTCTCTTTCAGAAGGCGAGAAAAACTCTAGGAAAAATTTAGAAATAGCGCTCATGAGTGAAAATGTAAGTAAGTGTTTTTCAGATTGGCGCCTCCTCGCCTACTCACCTACCAAAAACACATTAAAAGCACATAGTAAGTGAAGGCTACAAAACAAGAAACGTATTGCAGGATAACGACTTAGAGCATCTCCAACACATATTTTAAATGGTCAAAATGGCTAAATTTTAGCTGATCAAAGCCAAAAAGAGTGATCCAACAGAATATCTTCATATATTGTAAAATAGATTTTTGCTATAGTGATACTCAAAATATAGAGTATCACTATAGCCAACTGTAAACATAGTATGTATTATTCCATCTATTTCTAAATATCTATCGTTTAAGGTTTTTGCACAGGGATTAAGGAAGCTATTAAATAGCTCTAATATAAGTAAAAAATTATTGCACAAGACCAAAATACTCTTATTCAATACGTATTGAGAAGGAAAGGAATATGAAAGATATTTAGCATCCACCTAATCTAGTGCATTGAAAAGTTAAGGGTAAGTTTGGAAGAAAAAATATTAATTATGCTTTGATTTCATTAAATGACGGATATTATGGAACAAAAATAAGTTGTATAAAACGGCAGATATTTAGGAATGGAGGGAGTATTTTCTCTCTCTTCATTGTCTTTCCCTCCACTTTGTCTATCTCCCTCCAACAGTCCCAACAGTCCACTTCATCTATCTCCCTCCTACACTGTTCTTTGTCTCCTGCACTATTCACTATATCATGAAGGTTGTTTGAAGATTCAAAATTTCACTGCACTATTCTCTTGAACTATTCACTTTTCTTCGTCTTCTTAGTTGTTTCAAAATTTAGTTGTTGAAAAGAACAATAATAAAAAAATAATGAGAAATAATATTTTAAGAAAGTAGTTAAAACTATAGAAAATCTGTTAGAGTGTGTACTAAAAAAGTGAGTAGATAAAATAAAAATATTATTTTTTAAGTAATTAAAATAACTGTTATTATTAGAGATGCTCTTAGCAGTTTCAAGTGCACATTGAGTATTGTAGCCTCATGATTACCTAAAACTATCTCCATCACATTCCCTTATCCCTCGAAAAGTGAAAACGTGCTTTGAAAGCCAACACAACCATGCAAACAAGTCATCATTATTGCGAGTACAAGTCGCCTCTTTCCATATGACAAAGAGGAAATAAATACTTATAATTGCAACCGCTTAAAGGTCAATAAGTTTCATTACAAAAGTTAAAGTTGCTACAGACGAAAAGTAAAAAGGTGTTAGGACCTCTGCATTAGAGGCAACAACATCCTTTTTCTTCCCCTCATCCTTCGAGAAGACAGGCACAAATAATTCAAAGCCCAGGTTAGGCACAATAATTCAAAGCCTAGGCCAGGCACAAACAATTCGACCCTCACCCGCTTTGTCTCTACCTCTACCTTCAGCTCTACAGAACGGCCAGATCCAAGGTTACGATTAGGTTGGCTATTCTGGCGTCTTGAGATGCAGTCTTCATCCGAAGCTCGTCCACTTCACCATTAAGCATACCTAAGTTTTCCTTGCAGCTAGCCAACTCAAGAGCCTGGTCATTGAAACTTTTAAGCAGCTCCTAACATTCAATGTTAAGAGCCTTGGGGAAGGCCGTTGACTGCAAACAGAAGAGTGGCGATCAGACACAAAAAAAAATAAAAAAATGAAAGTTGTCATACCATAATCAGGCCATGTGTAGCTAAATAAACTTTCTCTTGCAAGGAAGTAGTCTTTAAACTGCTTAGCTCGTTCGATGGAATGGTGTTGAATAGAGCTTTGGCATATTTAGACGGTGACTGAAGGAAGTGACCTCCTAGCTGAGCAAAGAGGGCTTCGCTCCCCCCCTTCCCTTCAAAAGTTGGTAAGTTGGGGGCTTCCAATAATGGAGAAGGAGGAGAAGACAATGTTCTACCACCCAAAGAATCAAGGGGAGAGGCAACAAGTGCCTCGTCCATCCCTCCTCCCTTTGTAGGAAGTTGGGGATCACGACCCTCCAAAGTCACAACAACCGAAGCCACTATAGATGAAAGGGGGATAGGCTTTGATTTCTTGGATGGGGGAAAGTCGACCTTCTTTACCAACTTGCCTCTCTTCCTCTCCTCCATGGTTGCCTCTCTTGCCTCTCTTGGTCATGCCCCATTTCAGAAGATTATATGAGTGAGACTTTTGGGTACGAGGACCAAGCCCGTATTTGGCCAAGTTCTCGGTAGTGACTAGGTCCCCTAAAAGACCTTAAGCCATGCACGCCAACCTTAGAAGTCTGATCAATCTCCTCAGAAAAAAGGGGATGCCTAAATTCTACAAAAATAAAATGAATTACAATCAAAAAAGGCAACAAGATAAACGGTGAAGAGTATCCGAGCTAGCAATAATCTAAGCAAAACTCACTAGTGTTATGAGGAACATCCCAAGTACAAGGAACTCAAGGAGTGTCTCCAACGTCTCCGGATAGGTCCCAAGCATCCCTAGAGACAAAGAAGAAATTTTTCTCCCAACCCTTATGAGAACTGGGGAGGTCAGAAATCAGCATCTCAACCATCACCCTTTTGGCGAAATAAAGGAAACTGGGGGCTAGGGAGGATTTGAGATGGAAATAGTGTGCGAACTAAAGCATAGTAAGGGGAGTCGATATCGTATTCTCTCTAATAGACAAGCAAACCTAGTAAGAGGCCCTATCCATTGGGGGACAGACGCCGGGACAAACATTGTGATGACAGAGTACATCGTGAATGAAATGGTTAATGGGAAATATGAGTCCAACCTCGAAGGCAGATATGTAGAAACACGTCTTCCCTAGGATGCTTAAGTCACAACATTCCTCTGCTGAAGGAACGTGAAGCGACACTATCAATGGAAACCCATAGAAATAAATGAGTTCACGAGCCTAATTGTCGGTAATACAACTCACGGTTGAAGCCGAACTACAAGACAGTTCAAACAGGTCATGCAAAATTCTTTTCATGATTTGGAGTGTTGAAGGGTTCGGCACAAATGTGCTCACCCTCCCCGTCCTCTCTCTTAACCTTCTACAAGGTTTGATTTGAAGCTCTTGGGGGCCTAAGGTCAAGGTTTTGGGCTCCGAGCCTAAAACAAGAGCATCCAAAGATGGCCCTAGAGGATCACCCCCTACCAGTGCTAAAGGTAGATCCTCTCTCTGGACATCCCCGAGAAAATAATGTTCTTCCTCTGTTTAAATACTCACTGAAAATCCTTAAAGTTTTCTCATATGGATGTAGAATGAACATTGGGGTTGAGATATGGGGGGATAGATATATATGAAGACGAGTAGCCTCTATGAAAGAATAAATAGACTCTATAATTTCATGTTCACTGGAATGAAGTATATTTCATTGAACTATTTTAACAACAAATTAGATGAAATGAAAGTGGATTCAAAGGACTTTTTGTGTGTGTTTTCTTATTTGTACTTGGATGTCTACTGTGTCGTACAACAAAGAACTCAATTAGTAGTTCTTTCCTCTATTATGTGGTGGATGTTGGTTCTTTGGGAGGGAAGAAATATGTCAAGTTGGTGTTTGATGCCTTGGTTGAGAGGGTGAAAAAATATAAAATATATGAACAAAACAATATTAGTGATTATGTACTAGTTCTGAAGGTAATGTATTGATTACGTGAAAGATCTTATGCTTGCTATTGTTTTTCTTTCTAATTGAGAGTAGTTGTTTGTTATAGATTTTTTATCTTCAGCACGTGACATCCAAAGGGGTTTCACTTATGTCAATCAAATGTCAATCCATTCCCCCTATTGAAGCATGGGGTGATTTGGAAATAAAAAATGGCATAACCATCTTTAAGAAGTTGAAAATTTTTAAAGAGGTATCATGTTGCCATTATTTGTTAATAATTGATGTGAATGTATTTCAATTTCAATTTCAATATAAACATGTATTATCCAAATGGTTGTTTTAGGTTCCATTTATGGGAGTAGCCCCAACCACGCTTAGTGCACAACCACCTATTGAGGATCAAAACATAAGGAGACGTTGGTGACCTCAATGAAGACAACTTAGGGTAGGCAGTTGGTGCCCCGAATGAAAAAAAATCCATAGTATGTGTAATAATGTTATATATAACTCACTATTTCCAATTATGTGTTGAACATGATGATTTGATTTGATTTTAATTAATCAAGGGAAAAAGGATTGTCATTGATGGAAAAGTCAATGGCCAAAATCATGGTGGATCAGGTTGACCTAACTGGCAAAGTAGTCTAGTTATCATGATGGAGAAAATCATTGATACCTTAGAAGAACTTAAACCCACAAAACAATATGAAAATAAATTTGATGCTTATAGAGAGAATAAAGACATACATAATGAAGCAATCCATGAAAAAGCCTTAAATGAATTGAGGTATGATAATCGAATGTGGATTCTGCTTCAAATGATGAAGACACCAAACATAAAGACGGTGAAAGATACACCACGGTAACATTCAAATGTCATTGTATGCACACCTCACCTACAAGAGGCTTCACATTCATGCCATTGGAAATGGGAAACTTCGCCGCCTATCGTCGATATTACATGCCAAAATCATTTCATCGATTATTAAAGATGGGAGATCTATATATACACCCTTTGCAATGGCATAAAGGAGATAAGCTCTATCAATTTCAAAATCAGCACAATGTTCTCTCGGATTGATATTGCATGCCACTATACGATTTAAAATCCTACATTTCATAGTAAAGCCTTTCTGATAAATATTTATATTGTCAACTTTCCCTTCAAAACTAGACGGTTTACCTTTAAGTTCTATAAGAACATCTTTCAACTGAGTTTTATCCTTAGAATTCTTGTATGGATAAGTAACCCTATTCTCAAGAATGAAGGATCAGACAACATTCAATATTTTTACAATTAAATTCAAGGTCGCTTCAAATTCTATACTCCTAACAACAAACTTAAAAGTGTGATCATTTTTCTCAATATAATGCATATTTGCATAAAATATTTTTCACTAATGTACCATATGTTATCATCCTTGATATCAACTATAGAATTCCATTGATGAAGAACAAAAATGATATCCAACTCCACATCTCTTAATTGATCCAGTAAAGCACCACACTACAATAACAAGGGTATATGGTAAAATACCTATCAGACCACTCTTTGCACTTTGTGTCAAAGAAACATATGCTGGGATTGGATATCAGGTTGGATGAACTTACTGAATTAGATATCGGGTTGGATAAACTTATTGGATTCAAGGAGTGATCAAGTGAATTTATTGGATTGGAGGCCTCAACTACCTATTTCTTCTTCCTTTGCACATTTTCCCTACTATTATCCACAGATGACCTATATTTCTTACACACTCCTTTTAAACTGTCCCCCTCTTCCTTCCTTTTCCCATGTGCGCCTTCTGACATCGTCAAAATATTATCTATGACCTAAAGCCCTTTAACACAACAAATGTTATCACACGAGTGTGGTAGATGACTAGGTTTCAAGATGTTCTAGTGCTTCTAGCTGCAACAAGAAAAAAATCTAGTCAAAAAGAGAGCAATAACTTTGTGCATGACAGATTATCTATTACTTGTGAACAATAACAATTGAAAGAGATGAGAGGAAGATAGGATGATATTACTTTTGAAGATGACTTGCCATCCCAAACATTGGAAGAATTATAAAGTACGCAATTCTCATAACTACTAACTACCACGTTATCACAATTTCCTCCAGTCTACATCTACATATGCTATACTACTCTTCTCTTGCTCTGAACCCATTACCATAACTCATATATAAAGCAAATAATTGAAACAATCAACCATATATCAATAGTTATTCAATTCAATTGTTCAATCCACATATTCAATCCTAAATCACAAAAATCCTCATTCAATTGTTCAATCCATACATCCATATATTCAACTCTAAATAACAAAAACCCTTATTCAATTGTTTAATCACATATTCACATATTCAACCCTAAATCACAAAAATTTGTCATTCAATCGTTCAACCCCTAAAACACATCCCCTATGTAACTACACAAAAATAAGATGAATTGAGAGCCAAAGAGAGAAAGAGAAAAAAGGATGCCTCAGAGAAGAGGAAGCCAGTGGTGATGGCGCGATTTCGCTAGCTGAGAGAGATAGGGGTTTACGTATGGAAAATTAGGGTTCTTTGAATTCAATTTGGGTTCTTCGTTAGGGTTTTGGGTATGGAAAAGTTAGGGCGTTGAATTCGATTTGGATTCTTTGAGTTGTGGGTTGGTTGGTCGAGTAAGGGTTTAAGTTGGGTTTATAAGAAGCTAGGATTTGTCGGGTAAGGGTTTGAGGTAAGTGTTTGGATTCGACTGATAGTATTATTTAAAAAAGAAAAAATATGTTAAGGGTGGTATTTGATCAGTCATGACCGGTTTTGATTTGTAGTAATCACGATCGGTTAGGATCGGTCTAGCTTGGTAATCATTGATCTAATTTGTTATATGAGGATCGATCATTATAAAACATGACCGATAATGTGATCCTAACTTACCCAAAAAAAGTGCTAACTTAGCTGAGAAAGTGTAACTTACCAAATAAAATGGTAATCTTACCCAAAAAATGTTAACCTTACCCCTAAAAACCGGTAACCTTACTCTAAAAATTGTTAACATACCCAAAAAATATGATACACTTACCCAAAAAAATGATAATCTCTTTAGTGGTAACTTACCTGTGGTTAACTTTAACACCTAAAAAGGTGGTAACTCACCCAAAAAGTGGTGAATTTATCTCAAAAGTTGTAATTCAACTAAGTGGTTTCTTATCCCAAAAAGTGTAACATTATCCTTAAAAAGTGGTAACTAACCCCAAAAAAGTGGTAACCTTACCCCTAAAAAAATGGTAACTGCTTGCTTTCAAAAGTGGGTGTATAATAAAGTGGTTCCCAAGCACAGGAATATATTGTTTAGTAACTCGGTCGATTACCGAGGTCATCTCCTATGAAAAAATGAAGGACAAATTCGAGAGTTTATATAAAAATAAAAAGAGTTCTTTGAAAGTTGAGAACTGTAGTAATTAACTAAGCTAAATTAAAGATAAATTTAATAAAAAAATAACCAAATAATCTTCAAATTTAATCACAC